TACGTTACCATCGTAATTAGTTATCTTCTGCTCTGCAATTGCCGTCATAGAGCTTCCTTCCAGGTGCCACTTAACAGATGAGTTTGTTCAGAGATTGATTCCATAGCAAAAAGATTAATGAAATCATCTATATTAATTTTGTAGTTACACAGACCTTGAAAGATACATGTGGGAAAAAAAAACATTAATAAAAAAGCAAAATGTAACTCAGTAACATTTTGACACAAGTGTACAATCTATTAAGAAAAAAAAAAAAAAGATGCTATGCCTATTTCTTCACACTGAAAGCCAGACAGGGCATCTCTGTTTCCCATCATAATAAATATTTATTGCTGGGGATTTATTTACTAACTTACTAAAACTTGCTTTTGACTTTCATTGCAGACATGCAATAGCAATAATTCTCCTAGTTCTTAAGAAAAAAAAAAAAAAAACTTAAAGAGTTTGCCTAGAAGCCAGTTTTGTCTGCCTAGTAGGCATATGCAGTACTCTACTATTCAGTTAAAATGCAGATCAAGTAGTTTGTGATTAGGGAACTATCTAGTCTTCACTAGTAAGGTCTGCTTCTAAGCCACCAGAAAACTGCTCAATTGGCATGTACTTATTCTCTTGCTGTCTTTGTTAAAAAGTATTTTAGTGTAAATCTTTTCTCTCATAGTCACATAAAGAATAAATGAAGGAATAATGATTTATTTTTAATAAAGAAGTAAACAACTATATCCAACAATTTGGAGAAGGGAATGTGGATTACCCATTCATAACACAACTAGTTCTTTCTTTCATTATTCATCAGACTACTCGATGCTTACTGTGACAGGACATTACCAATAAGGAAATATTGATAATCTAACATAAAGTGTCTCATCTGGAGACTCCCATAAGCTTTTGGAGGTAAGATTTTTGCTGTCAGGAAAATATTCATCATTTAACTAAATATCTCCTATTGTACAAGATAATATGGGTTAGTATAATATGATTTGCAGTCTTTGGAACAAGAGAACCCCAGGATTCAATTATATCCCAATACACCTCCAACCAAGAAAATATTTAACTTCAAAGAGTCTCCATAGTCTCATCCACAAAATAGAAAATACAGAACTGGATAGTGATGGTCACTACATGAGATGATGCGGATAAAGAATCTAAGCATATCAATGCTATCATTATAACTGAGAGAGCACTTAGACAAATTCTCGTTAAACTTTCTAAGTTTTGAGGAACAACACAGAAGCACCGGTTTTGTTTGTTTGTTGCTGTTTTGTTTTGCTTTGTTCTGTTTTAATTACGTCCTTAAGTTACAAAGGAAGAAATAGTAGCCATGACTCCTGTTCCTATTTTTTTTCTTAAAGAAACACTTGACGGAAATAATATGCCCCGGAACAGATCAGGTTCTCTCCCCGCTCTCCCTCCCTCCTTCCCTTCCCGCTTCCCTCTCTCCCTCCTTTTTTTCTTCTTCCTCTTTCCTTTCCTCTTCTCCTCCTCCTCCTTCCTTTCTCTCACCTCCTTCTTTTCTCTTTATTCTCTTTCCTTTCTCATATCACTATTTAGAAGACTAAAAGTTATTTTAGAAAATATCAAAAGACTATGGGTAATAATTTGTTGTTTGAGAAAGCAGTGTTTTTCACAGAGAAGTGCTAGTATTAGCTTACTAGTAAAGCTGGTCACACTCCCTCTTTAACTCCCTTCCTGATTTCATTTAACAAGAATAGACTGGATCAAAACACTAAAACTGCAGAGGTAATTCACAGCAACACATTATCACTTAGATCTTTCTTCTGCTTCACAGCCCAGAAACGACATTCAGCTGATACCGAAGGACTCTAGATCATTTGGAAACACTCCTCTGACCTTGATCTCTGCTTTCCCAGAAAAGCTATTATCACCACATCTCCTGAATGCAGGTTCAATATGTGAGGCAGTTTGACTCTAGAGGTTTGGGGAGGTCATGGTTCTCGGGGAGCCATTCTTTCAGAACCAAAGCTTTTAGTGCTCAAATCCCTTGCTTCATCAGGAAAAAGGAAGCTTTCAGTTCCACAATAGAGTCTGTTGGGTACTGCCTTTTCTGCAGATATCATTAGATATGAACTTTGCCTTTTGGATTTCCTTTTGATGCTCTTGATCTGTGTCTTTTTTGCCTTGTAATTATTCCTACCAAAGATTCAAGCCAAGCTCATTGTGCCATGATGCATTTTGTTGTAACATGATATGATGAAAAGTGATGTTCCAAAATTCTAAATCAATATTCTGCATCCAGATTTGATTGTTAAAGTCAAATTGGATACTGAGGCTAATTTTTCATTTAAAATGCTAATATACAGGGATGCGCCAATGAATATTGATGTTACCAGATCAGAAATCTTTTCTGGATATAACATGCTGCTCTGGTATTTATTTATTATGAACAAATATCAGTATATAATTGAGATCCAGGCTCAGATTCTCTGGTCCTTTAATAATGGATTCATTTTATAAAAGAATATGATAAGGAGATGTTAAAATAGACTATTTAACTGTATTTATGGGATATTGGGGCAATGAAGTTAATTTAGTAATATACTTGTCAGAAAATAGAAAAGCTATAATCCAGTGTGTTAAAGAGAAAAATGGAAAAGAAGAAAGTAGTTTTAAGAAGCTTTATAGTTAAATGAATGGCACATTGTGGTTTTTAGGTAGAGAGAATTTGCCTTCACACCTGCACTGATACTCATAGATCAAATGATTTAGCACCCCTCATGAAAATCTTAGGCTACACACATGCAAAGTACATTACTCCATTATATCTAGAAATTTTATTCTATTAGATTTGATATAGAACAAAAAGAACTATTTCCAATGTAGGACTTTGTAGGCTCAGTTCACTAACACACAAATCATGAGAAAAAGTCATTAGAGTGTCACTGTATTGTGTTGCATCAAAAGAAATTTTTAAAATATTTTCACTATTGATTTAAGAGAAAATAGCAATAGAAATTGACATAATAAAGGAGAAAGAATTTGAATTGTTTTTTCATTTGTTTTGGCTTGGTTTCTGGAAACAGGGTCTTCTTTGAGTCCAGGTGAACTTGAACTCACAGACCATCCTGCATCGGTCTCCCCAGTGCTGGGATTACAGGTATACATCACCATGTGTAGCAAGAATCTGGAGTGTTAAACTCTAGCTCTGTCACTAAAAACTGAGTGACCTTAGACAAATTACCTAAATTCTCTAAACACCATTTTCCACCTTTCTAAAAATAAAAATAGTCAATAATCACTTTTGCATTCAATTATATTTTTCAATATTCTTTTAGATTTTATTATAAGGAAATAAAATCATTTTTTTCAGGATTTGAAGCAGATAAATTCAGCAGAACTCAGCAACCATCTCATGACTGCTGCAAGCAAAGTATCTATATCCTTCCCTAAATTTGGCGTTATTAGTATAGAAGCAAAGTGTAGGAGTCAGGCCAATGTGACAAGAATTTAACTTTACCAGCTCAATTGATTGGTTTATTACATCTTTTCTTCCTTATTTGTTTCTTTTTTAACCTCTCTCTTTCCTATTTTCTTTTCTTATTTTATTCTCTACTGAAAGATTTCTTCCACAAAAGGGAGAAATGTAAAGACAATATATATCACTGATTATCACCCCTTCAAAATTAGCAAAATTAAAGGATTTATTATTCCAGATTTCAAAATATGTCTACGAGACAGGATGGTACTGTAAAGATCAGTGTAACAGAAACTGGGAGTCAATAAACAAAGTCTCACATTTATATCCGTCATTTTTTAACAGTGATGTTGTCTGAGTCCACTTATACTGCTATAACAAAACACCTGAGTGGAAGTCAGTCATAAATAATAGAAACTTATTTTTCCCACACTTCTGATGGCTGTGGAGTATGATCTCAATATATCAGGGTTTAGTGCCTGGAGGAGGCTGCTCTCTGCTTTCAAGATGGAGCCTCATTGCTCTGTCCTCGCAGGGCAGAAGGGGTGAACAGTTCATCCACACATGGCAGCCGGAAGAAGGACAAAGAGAACCATGCAGTACTCACCAGTTCAGCCCATTATAAACTGCTAATCCCATTCATTAGGAAAGAGCCTTTATGGTATGAGCCTCTTCCAAAATCTTACCTCTAACTACTGTCATACTAGGGATTAAATTTCCATGTGAACTTTGGGGGGACGTGAAACTTCAAACCACAGAAGATTCCATGACAATGTATAAGGCAAAAAAAATTGTCTTTTAACAAATGGTACTGGAATAACTGAACATTACAGGCAAAAGAATGAAGTGAGTTCTCTATGTCATACTACGCAGGGGCATTAAAATTGATCATAATCCTAAGTGTCAGACCTATAAACTTTAAACTCTTAAAAGAAATCATATATATAAATTCTCATGATCGTTGATTATGTAGTAGTTGAACAGTGAACATAGATATATTACATGTGAGGTAGCCTGTCTTAAATTCTGTTACATGGCAAATCTACATGAAGTAAAAGAAAGTCCTTTTCACCTGGTTAGCTTCACAGTACCAAGTGCTTAATTATCTTTCATTCAGCCATATTTATAACTCCAAAAGTGAAAATACATTATGAGGGGCAAAATATACTAAAAACTATTGCCTTCTTCTAGAAGTAACAATTGAAAATAATTTTCCTGGTTATGTATAAACAAGTTAAATAATATATTCATATTTTAAAATTAATTATTTTTTTTCAGTTGAATCCAGGGCTTTCACACCAACCTTTGTATCCACCCTTTTTTAAAATATTTATTTCTTTTTATCGATTTGTTTGAGACTAAGTTTCCCAGGCTGGGACTAAACTTGCCATCCTTCTGCTTTAGCCTCCAAGAATTCCAGAATTACAGGCGTGCACTACCATACCTGCTTTAAGATGAAGGTTTCAAATGAAAATTATAACATCTGCCCAAATTTAAAAATCAAGAATTATAAAAATTTTAAAAGACATAAAATTACTAATACTAAAAGTTGTCTTACCTTCTCCCCCTCTGTTACCCCGAGGCAACCACTTTGAAGTCTTTCAACTGTTTCTTCTGCTTTTTAATGGCCATTTCTCTAAATAAAACATTTATACTTTTTGTTTTTATTCATTTTGTCTCATTATCTGTTGTTCTCCTTTTAAGGTAGTAGAAATGGTATTTCTCAAATACACATTCTCCAGCTTCTTCCTGATTCTGTCAATAATTTGTGTTATTTTTTTCTTCTTCTGGTAAAATAGTAAGCATTTATGTTTAAACAATGCTTAATACATTCATTCCTATGTCTCTCTTTTTTTGAAGGAGTTGATATTGCATTTTGAGTCTGGATGCAGTCCTGGAGGAGGAAAAACAAAAAAGACCTCAGCCATTTCTCTTAAGGATATCAACTTTTTGGAGGAAGCCTCCCTTGTTATGAAGGGTAAGCTTCTTTACTTAGAGACCAGTCACTGAAATACTAATAACATTTAAAAAGCACCTCCACAGCAGCATCTAGCTTGGTATCTAACAAAACCAGCTGGGCTCCATTGCCTCGCCAAGTCTTCATATAAAATTAACTATCACGGAGGGTCAGTATAAGCAAACAGAGATTATCTATAAAGAGATTTTCTCATTTTTAGCTATTATTTCCATTTTTTACACTGTAAAAATTAAAGAACTCTATTAAATAACCATAACAATCATCAATCAGTGCAAGATATAACTTTCTATTTGATCAAGCTACTTTTCAGGGTTTTTTTGAAGATAGTTTGCCAGTGAGTAATTTTGAGCAACAGAATGACACTAACTAAATGGATTTTTAGAAAGTTCATATTCAGGTTACACAAGAGAATGAAATGTTATATTTTTCTCTAAACCAGTGAGATGATAAGGACATGACCTAAGGAACTAATATTTAGGAGATTATACAAAGAGTTTTTTTAAAATTAATTAAGTTGCTGTCTCTGTGAAAGCAGGTGATTTGATAACTACCCAGATTTCCAATTTGCTCATTTTGAAGTGCAGTAGTGTCAAGAAACAAGTGAAGAAAAGAATTTAAGAGAAAAAAATTCAAGTTCATTTCTGGCATATTCAGCTTCCAACACCTGTGAGTCTGTGTGTCATAAGTGCTAATTTATGTATCACCTGACTGGACTACACATTGGCCAGACATTTGCATAAACATTATTGTTTAATGTATTTATGTTTCTGAAAAAATCTATGTAAACTGTGTGTGTGTATGTGTCTTTCTGTCTGTCTGTCTGTCTGTCTGTCTGTCTGTCGGTGTGGTGGTGTGTGTCTCTTTTGTCCCCCTTTTCTGGACAGCCCTGACTAGCACGTAGAAGACCTGAAGCATCCCAGCTGCAAGGCATCCGTGGTGCTGTCCCGGGCATTTGTGATGATCTTTCTTTCCTCCGAGGGAGTTGTCCTTGGAGGTACTCGCATGGCTTAACATCTTCCTTATTTAGCATTCTGACCAAATGACATCACTTCAAATAGGATATTCCTGATCACCTTTAAAAATGCCCCTGTCATCCTTTACTCAAATCTTGTGTTTCCCCTGAAGGCTTTAATTTTATGTAACATAATTATAAATATGGTTGTTGTCTAAAGGTAGAAATTTTATTTTGAGGCAATAATATGATCTTTTAATTATTGTACTGAGAGCTCTATATTGGTTCCATTACAGTACTGTTTTTTCCAATTACCGTATCGATCTACATTGTATAGGAATGCCTATTAATCCCATACTCTGTCAAGAAGTGTTTAAAACATTTTAATGTGTATTAATCTGATATTTTGAAAATGCAATTTCAACTGTGAAGATGTTTCAAAACCTATCTGAATGTCTCCAACTAATTGTTTATCCACTAAATTGTTTTCCTAATTTTTCAAACTGAAAATACAATACAGTATTCACATTTCATTCTATGTCTGTAGTGTCACTCATTAGAATATTATATTTATTATAAAAACAGTGATCAAATCTTGGTCTTTATTCTTTCTGGTTTACATGGCTTTTTAATACTTTGTAATACTCCAGTAATTTTCAATGTAAGGTTTGCTATAACTAAAGTCCTAAATTTTGTAGGCTTGTACAGTAATTTGACTCTTTTTAGCCATTTGATATTTATCACCATTCTTTAAATTCAGAACTTACCATTTTCCTTTTTTTTTTACTTTCAAGTTAGCTATCACATTTTAAAAAACAAACAAACAAACAAACAAAAAAAAACCACAGGTAGGCCAGGGACACAACTCAGTAGATAAGCACCTTCCTGCCAAGCACAAGGTACTGTGTTCAATTCCTGGTATCAAAAATTAAAAAAAGAAAGACAAAGAAAGAGAAAAAAAGAAAAGAAAGAAAGAGAGAGAGAGAGAGAGAGAGAGAGAGAGAGAGAAAGAAAGAAAGAAAGAGAGGGAGGGAGGGAGGGAGGAAAGAAAGGAAAGGAAAGGAAAAGAAAGGAAAGGAAAAAGGAAAGAAAAAGAAAGAAAGAAAGAAGGAAAGAGAAAGAAGGAAAGAGAAAGGAAAAAACAGAGAGGCTATAATCCTCCGAAACTGAACTTAAGAGACTAGACCAATATCACTCTGATCAGTGAATAATATTATTGCTAGATTTTATATCATAATGCTACAAAATTAGCATTGGGTTTCTTAGTGTCTCTTGTTCTTCAGAGTATCTGTTCATTACATCTTGCATTATATAATCTGTTCCCGTAAACAGTTTTTTTTTAAATCTTCTCGTTTGTGAATTTATCCATGTATTTCTATACTCTCTGTATTATAGTGAAAAACAAATCATAACAAGACAGCAAAAAAATTCCTAGAAAAACATGCACTGAGTAACACACAAGATCACAATATTAGGTGATCTTCCGTAGTTACTATGCTTTCTCTTGTTATTTTCAATAGATATGTCCACATCATTGGGCTTAATATAGTTAAACATAGTATTACCTAGCTATTTTTTATAAAAACACAACTTTGAAAACATTGTAGAACTTGAGAGCTGTTGATAATTAATACCAGTGTGAATATCTTTTACATCTTGTCATCTTCAGAGTATTGTCTGATAGTTACTTTTATTTTAAGACAAAAAATGACAGACTTTTACCTAAAAGTAACAGAAAACCATGAATTCAGATGTCTTTAAAGTAACAGAGTGTCATTCACCAAATCTTTTGACAAATATTAATTTAGTACCTATCACATACCAGCTACTGTAGTAGGCTTTAGTAGTAGACTATGACTTTGCTTCATAGAGCTTTTGTTTATTGAGGAGGAAGAAAATAAGCTTAAAAATGAATTTATTGTGTAGCAATGAGCTCACTATAGGGGAAATGATCCAGAATTTATTAATTGAGTTGACAAAATGCCTCCGTTTCCCCTGATCTGCTGTATGATCTTTAGTACTGACTTCAAGTTCTAGTAGGTAGGAAAGTGGACATGGAAGTTCCTGATACCTGTTCTTCCAGAGAAAGAAGATGACTATTTCTTACTTTTGCTTTTATTTGAGATCCCAAGCCTTCAGCTGACTTTTCCTTATCTGAGTCTGTAATATTTGGGCACCTTCTAGTTTCTGAGCTAATTATTAGCACAAGTAAAAAGAAATTGGCACAATTGCTTCAGGAAAATAATCTGGTTTAGAATCAATGCCCAAGTCAATTACAATGCTTTTACTGTAATCTGAATAATACAGATTTTAAAGGCAAATACTATGGTCTTTTTAGTAGCTGTCTTAAAATTTTTTACATTTTCTCTAATCTAGACGTCACTAGGCAGATAAAAGGGATTTAAGGGAGTTTTATTACTCTCTTTTATTCGTGATAGGCTGTATCAAATAGGTCTCTTTAGAAAACTTATTTGTCTTATTACAATCTTCCACAATAAGTTTTTCTTCCAATTTAAATTAACTTGAAAGCAATATAAGCATAAATTTATTAGAAGGCAAAGTCATACATTCCACTAATTTTCTAATATATTTCAAACATTAGAATAATGTGAAAAATACATTCATAGAAGGAAAGTCATTTAATTTCTAACAGGTAGACCAAAAGACAAACTAATTAAATCCATTCTGAGACACCTAAAATACAGCTGTTTTATGGTAGAAATAAGTAAGTTTTCTGTATTTGTTGCAAAGAACACATTGCTTCTTTTTGTTTGTTTGTTTGTCTGTTTATTAGACTCATGCTTACTGAAAGAGTCAAAAACTCTTGGTTTGATTGTGCTTATTTTTGATAAATATTGCAACTAGTTTCTAGCAAATATATTTATTACTAACAGTAATACTTCAAGATTCCCTACCGTGGTCAAATGTAAATAATGCTCCACTCTTTCATTTGGGAGTGCGTACAAAGAAAAAAACAGTAATGTTATCTAAAAGTAAACAAATTCCTACTGTTTAAAAGATGTTAAGTAATAAAGTTATTTAGTCTTAGCTTACATTTATTTCTAGATGTTAAATTGGCAAAAAATGCTGGCAGATACCTTTTAGTAACATGTAAATTTAAGACTTGAGAAAAAATTTTTCTGAGTTTCATGTAAGGATTATGTGACTTTTGAGTAACTTGTTGAGTGAAATCTATGAATAGAAAACATGTAAGTTGTAAGAATTCTGTCATACATATATTGTTTTCAATTGAAAACAATATTGAAAAAGAAGATGAGTATCCTACAAGATAAAAATCCTTAATGACATAAAATATATCTATCTTCATCATCACTTTTTTGCATCATAGATGAGACGCTATTATAAACATATAGTATTAATATATTAATATTAACATAAATTTCATATCCATATCCAGATAATCAGGTATACTATCAAGAAGTCATCCTGAAAGAGAATATCCCTCTTTCAAAGATGGTGCTATTTTCCATATTACTATTTGGAATGTCTATTTTCAGAGTGCTAATCTCTTGTATAATATAGTAGCCAGTTTCATCATGTTAGTGTTACACATTTTTTTCTTCTTCCAAAATATTATTCATCAGTGAAATCACCACAAAAGTATTTGATTTGAAGCCAAGTAATGTTCACTTATAGAGAAAATAACTAGAGGAAGTACATCATCAAAAGAGGAGAATTTGCTAATCTTGGTAATTATTTTGAAAAGAAATGAATGCTTTGAATCTAATAATGTTGGAACCTGTGGGAAAAAGACCCAGTCTCAGTTAGTTAAACATTGGTTTATGTTCTTTAGAAACCCAATATGTAAAAAAAAAAAAATTATATCACCACTTATTATATAAAATAAAAGCATAAGTTATGCTGATAAGGTCGGTTAGGTGGTTTTTGAAGTAATTACTGAATATATTTGACAGGCATCTGAACTTCTCCATGTTGATGCCTT